GGGGGGGGGGGGGGGGTTACCTTAAAGTGTAACTATATACAAATATAATTATAATTTAAGCACATTTGCTGGCCAGGCTCTGTGTTCTCAGTTTTGCCATTAACCACATTTCAGTCAAAAAAGGCATTTGAAAACAAGACAGATAATGAAGAATAGCGTGATATAGAGATGAAAGGTAAAGATTTTTCTGACACCTTTTAATAAATGAGTAACGCTAATTCAGAATTGATTTTGGTTCCTTGTAACCTTTCTTTCAACCCAATGGTCACACAGTGCACCAGAACATCAAAACATTTCCATAAAAGAAGCTTGCTGATTCAATAGGCCCTTTTAATGAAAAGAGGGAACAGTCTGTTCATATAGCATATTGGAAATCCATACTTGAGATTTCAGGAGTTCATTGACGTATAATAGACACCTTGATAATGGCATTACATGTGAACTAAAGACAGCTATACAAAACACCATTTATTGCAGTTGTTAAAAATAATTGCATGCATTTTACATACCACTACTAACATAAGTCTCTAAATCTTCATATGAGCTTCCTATCATCGCTTATACAGCAACACTTAGACTAGGAGAGGAGGGGGAGCACCAGTTGGGTTCTGCTGCATGCACAGAAAGTGATGACAGGTAACATGCTGACAGGACAGGAGAGCAGAGTGAGTGTTGCTGCTCCTTCATTGTCCAATCGGCAGATGGAGAGCAGGCAGGTGATAACACAATGTTTTTTAACTGTAAATAGAAAGCAGTGTCTCCATCCTGGCTCTGTTATTTGGCAGAAGTGTATCATTCACAAAAGTGGCTGGACAGAATGAGAAAACCCTGGGTAGAATAGACAGATCAGCTTTGTGTGTATGTATTGCAAAATGTCAATTGTTTCTTAGTTACACTTTGCACAAGTACAAAAGACTGTTCAGTATGAATAGTTCTAACTACTGATACAGCTATTTGTGAATGTGTGTGCAAAGATCAGGTAAAAATATGTTTAGTCAGACGGGCCAGTTCACACTAGTGTTGTGCTAAAGGCTAACACACTATTACACTGCACAATGCACCTCACATTAGGTGCGCTGGTGTGTTGCATTGCCATTTATTCTAAATGTCATCCCAACACACCTCCCAGCATGTGTGTGTTGCACTACAATGCACAGTACCACAACAGTGTGTGTGTTGTGGTGCCATGTGCTTCTAAAAATAGAGCATGCATACTTTTTTCACTGCATGGCATTGCAATGCACTTCTGCTGGGAGGTGGTACTCATGTAAGGAGTACGGGCAGCCTGGGCCCCCGCAGTGGCGGAGCAGGCCTGACCCTAGCAGCGCAGGGCCACAGCATTGCCGATCCACTGGCTTCGAGACAGACTGGGGCCCCATCGGTGCCGCTGCTCGTCGGATGTCGAACCAGCCGGAAGTGACATCACGTCACTTCCGGCCCGTCCGGCAGCAGAAGAGGTTAGGTGTACAGGCACCAGGAGCAGGTAAGAGGAGCTGGGAGGGAAAGAGGGGGATGCAGCCCTGACCAGCCAACCTGAGACCCCTGCAGAGCCCACCGTAGAGAGTCTCAGATGGGCTCTGCAGGGTCACTCTCAGGTGGGTCCTGCGTCCAGCGCGTCACTAAGCCCTCTGTCCAGCGCGTCACTAAGCCCTGCGTCCAGCGGGCGACTAAGACCAGAGTCCAATTCATATACTGTTCTGCATTGCTGTATAAATATATTGCTTGGATTTGTAGTCCCCCTACAAGCGGTGCCATTCTGCATTAGAGTGTAAGCTCCTCTGTACAGAGACTGATGTGACTGGCTCAGTGTCCTCTGTACAGCACTGTGGTATATGTCAGAGCTATATAAATGTATAATAATAATAATAGTGTGTGATTGTTGGTGGGACATTAGAGTGTAAGCTCCTCTGTACAGAGACTGACGTGGCTGGCTCAGTGTTCTCTGTACAGCACTGCAGTATATATCAGAGCTATATAAATTAGGGCTGTGAAAATTAAAGATTAATTTCTCGATTAATCGTTAAACTTTTTGATCGATTAAAATTATTTGATCTCTAATGAAAACACTCACCCCTCCGCCGGTTTCCGGGAGTCCAGTCAGGGATCCGGTGACGTCACGGACATCGATGTCACCGGATTCCTCCCCCCTTCCCCAAGTGGCTCCGTCGGCTAACAAAGGGAAGGGGGGGAGGAGTCCGGTGACGTCGATGTCCGTGACGGCTAACGAAGGGAAGGGGGGAGGAGTCCGGTGATGTCGATGTCCGTGATGTCACCGGACTCCTCCCCCCCTTTGTTAGCCGATGGAGCTTGCCCAAGAAACTTTCTGCACGAGAGCCAGCCAAGGCATTGGCCTATACACATACAGCACAGCAATGAAGTAATAAAATGAACTAGGATCACATCATAATCCAGCACGTTATTATTCTGAGTTGCCCCACTCAAGCGGCGGCCATATTGAGTGGGGCACGTGAGATTAATGACGTGCTGGATTAGTGTGATCCTAGTTCATCTTATTACTTCATTGCTGTGCTGTATGTGTATAGGCCAATGTAGTTGGATCTGTATGTGCGTTATAATTAATTGAAATTAATCGATTAATCGATTTAAAAAATTTTTGATTAATCGAACACAAACATTTTAATCATTACCAGCCCTAATATAAATGTATAATAATAACTAGGGATGCACCGATACAGAGTATTTGAGCGATACAGAGTATTTGGGCGAGTACTCTCCCAAATGCTCCGATGCCTAGCCTATACTTTAGCTTCAGACATCAGGGCGGTGAGTCATTACATGCTTCCCGGCTAATCAGGAGGCCAGGCGCCGCATCATTACACGGCGCTCTGTTCACTGATTGGCCAGAAAGCCGGCTCCATGCTTTCTCATCACATAGTGACGAGAAGCATGGGGACGGCTTCCCTGCTAATCGGGAAGCCGGGTAACGAGTTATTACATGCCGCCCGGCTTTCTCAATGGGACTTCCGGTATCGGTATTCGGTATCGGTGAGTATCGGAAAAAATACATTGGTACTCGATACCGTAAAAACGGTATTGGTGCATCCGTAATGATAACAGTGTGTGACTGTGGGGGGCGGGGGGGGGTACATTAGAGTGTAAGCTGCTCTGTCAGAGGCTGATGTGACTGGCTCAGCGTGGAGGGTGGCTCTAAAGCCGTGTAAGGGACCTAAAAAAATTCTGATGGCTGCACTGATTTTGGTATATATATCCGCAAATATGTCTTCACTTTTTAACAAATGGTTCTTTCACCTTTATATGGGTGCATAAACAACATTTCACTGTTAACTCACTGAAAGTTTAATTGTATGTGCTCATAAGCATTTATTATACAAGATAAACTATCAGCGTTTTTCAACCACTGTGCCGCGGCACACTAGTGTGCCGTGAGATATTTTCTGGTGTGCCGTCAATAAACTAGATAACACCTCTTCCAAGAAGTGTGCCCAGGAAAAAATATAAACATATATAAGAAATGATATTGTACACAGTCATATTCACACCATTTTGAATCAATGTTTCCTTCCCTTTTTTTTTAAAGGAGAACCTGTTTTTTGTCATGGAATATCTCAATGGTGGGGATCTCATGTTCCATATCCAAGGCTGCCAGAAGTTTGACCTCTACAGATCCAAGTAAGATCCTAAATATAACCTGTAAATATCAAATAACCATTCCTCAAAGCATGCAGATTCCCTTAGCATATACAGACGTGCTAGTCTTCAGGATGTCTGCTGTGAAAGTGTCCCAATGTTAGGATCAGAAATGTACCTACATAATGACACCATCACACAATACCCACAATAAAAGTTACCCTTTCTTACATAAAGAGAGAATGCAAGTATGATAATCTTGCATGTATGGAGAAATGCAATAAATCCAATATCTCGACCGCTGCCTCTGCCCGGGAGAGAAGGGGGGATCCATGGGAGAAGCTGAGCCCCGTGTGCGTGGCCGAGTGGCAGAGGATCGGTACATATCAGTAATATGTACTGGTCCTCTGTGCAGGACAAACACTGGAGCGATCAGCTGATCACTCCAGTGTTTGTAAATAACTGGGGACAGTCCCCAGTTATGAATGAACAGGATGTGATTTACATCACTTCCTGTTCATTCATGAGTTTCTCAATGGGGAGAAGCACTCGGTACCGAGGCTCCTCCCCATTCAGAAACAGCTTGATAGTAAAATATTTTCTGAATGAATCGGAAGCCCCTGTGCTTTCCATTCATTTAGAACAGAGGCTGCAGAAAAAGGGATTGAGTACTTTGTGTCCTCAATTTCTTTTTCTATTTTAAAAGGGGAATATCAGTAAAAAAATAATAATAATAATAAAATAGTAAAAACATTTTAAAAATCCTGGAGGCAGGGCACTGGGTGACATCAAACGCCTGTTGGGGGGTGTGTTTCTTGCTTCGGGCGCAAAAGGAGCTGGCTACGGCTATGCTTGCCCGGTGCTCGTGCGGTTGCCGGCTGAATGTGTTAGACGCCGCACATGGAAAGGGGCAGAACACCTCTCCCCATGTGCAACGTCAGCCACACGAGCACCACGGGAGGACAAAACGCCGGGGCCTCTAGGACGCACTGGAATGTAAGCCGGCCGACTCCCTGTGTTCTCATTGAGCTCGTCATTTGAAAAGTAGATCTCCAGACGAAAAATTGTGGGCGCCCCTGTTATACACTCTTTGACTGGAAGGAAATACTGTAGAGCAGGGGTGAGAAACCTCCGGCCCTCCAGCTGTAGTGAAACTACAAATCCCATGATGCATCTGTCTCTGGGAGTCATGCCTGTGGCTGTGAGAATCTTGCAACATACTGTATATTGGAAAAAAAATCACTGAATTGCCCTGGATAATATGGGCACATTAAAACGTTAAACACTATTTAGAAAAGGCGCCATTTTGCTGCTAGACAGCGGGAAGAATAGATACACAAGAACCACTAGACACCCAGTAGAATAGGAACAAAAGTTACCGCATGGCAGACAGTATGCTCTGTATTAGACCCAGGCCACTGAGATCAGGCTTTCCTAAATCACTATATCAGGACACGTGCAAGAAACCACAAAACACTGACTTCTTTTTTTTGCTACAATATGCTATGGTAAATCATTTTCCGTTAGTGATATTGCTGTTTTGTGTTGCAGGCATCAATATGTTACTATATTAACCTAAACCTTAAGCTAAGATTGCAGACTTCATAAAAGAAAAATGTGCATTTATTATGTTTTTGCATTGGGGCCATTAAAGCATTGCAACTGTGATCAGTGGATTATGGGTGCAATGCTCTGGCACCCCACTGTTGTGAGCCGACCATGCTTCCTGTTATATCCCTAAATATGGGAATAACTTGGTCGGAAAGATGAACTTAGACTTTAATTGTGGAACTGATTGAAATTAGGGCTGCGGAAATTAACGATTAATTACTCGATTAATCATTAATTTTTTCAATCGATCAAAATTAATTTGATCGTACTCACCTCTCCGCCGGCTTCCGGGTCTTCCGGGAGTCCCGCCCGAGATCCGGTGATGTCACGGACATCGACGTCACCGGACTCCTCCCCCCTTCCCTTCTTTAGCCGACGGAGATACTTGGGCCCAGGCCCGGCGCTACCATATAGACAGTGAGAGGAGAGCTGCACTTGCAGCCCTTCCTCTCAGCTGTCACAGGAGTGCTAGCACAATGCTGTGCTAGAACTCCTGTATTGGAGGAATTCTAACAAAAAAAAAAAGTGAAAGAGAATCAGATAAATAAAAATGTAAAAAAGTAAAGAAATAAATAAAAACTTGACTACTATAAAGTGACTGACAGTCAGTATACTGGATACGTTTTATAATTAAACTAACTCTCTACGTCTTTCTTAAACTTATGTCAGTGCTACAGTTTGAATTTAAAACGTATTTGTGTGAACTGTGAAGTCAAGTCATGGATTGTTGAAACTAACTATTGTCGGGTGATTGTATATAGTGTATACCACATTTACCACTGACTAATGCAGAGTTGCAATGCAAGCAGATCAGCTAAAAGTAGTTGGATCTGTATGTGCGTTATAATTAATCGATTAAAAAAAATTAGAGATTAATTGAACACACAAATTTTAATCAGTACCAGCCCTTATTGAAATGTTTTTTTCTTTTCTTAATGACTGTAGGTTTTATACGGCAGAAATTGTCTGTGGCCTCCAGTTTCTCCATTCGAAAGGTGTGGTTTACAGGTAAAACTCACTAAGAGTTTAAATACAATATTATGTGTTATTTAAACAAGAAATTGACATTAGAGTGGACTATGGGAAAACATACTCCTAAGACAAACATCAGAAAATGATATAATATTATAAAAAAATGACAGACACTTTTTTAATAACATCTAAAATTGTGCTCTATTTTATTTATACTGTTATGTCCCTTATTTATATAATGCCAAGTTTTCTATAGGTTAGCACCTAAGACATTTTTATCCTATTGTAACATCACATAGTAACCAAATTCCCCCTGTGGCAGTTTCTCAAGTACACTTATTGCTGGCGCTGTCTAAGGCTGGCCATACACCTATCAATTTTTTTCATTCAACCCACAGGCTGAACAAAAAAAATTTACTTGATTCCTCCATCAACACAAACAGCGTGTCGATCGAGGAATCCCGCTGTTTACATTGTATTCTGACAGATGCCAGCGGCTCATCGGCTGCCGGCTCTGATTGATCGAAGATTTTCCAACCAGCTCCTTCGATCAGCTGATCAAGGAATGCCAGTTGAAAGGGAGCCGACAGCCCCACACACTGTGCGAATTTAGGCAAGTACAATAAAAACCGGACGAAATTTGACCCGTGTATGGGCACCTTAAGGGCCGATTCACATCATATCTGTTGGGGCTGCACTGGCCGTTTCCAGCACAGTCCCAATGCAAGACGTGGCAATTTTCCTTGTCCCGGCTGGGCTGGGTTCACACCACTGTGTTGCAATGGGAATGTGGTGGTGTGAGCTGAAAAAAAGTATGGCATGCTGTACTTCTTTTAGCGCAGCGGGATGCGATGCGGGACAACCGCCTCACATTCTGCTGTGCCTGTAGACCTGAATGAAATGCCACTTGTGACATTTCAATAAAGTTATACTATTAAAAAAGTACACAGCGCGATGTGCCGGGATCATTGCATAGGCACTGTGTGGGTCAGCGCACACCAGCATGTGTGAATTGGCCTTAAATTTATTATTTATGTTTCCAAGCCATCTTTTGTACTTTAAGGGCTCATTCATACTATTGCAATGCATTAATACACATTACATCATGCGGTAACATGCAGTGTGTTACGGAAGGCTATTTTTTCACCTTAACACATCAAACGGACAAAAAAAAGCTGCATGTACTACCTCTGGCAAGGCATTGCACAGTGCTACTTGTTGCCTTGCAATACAAGCCCATCAGAATGAAAGGCACTGTATTGCACCAACATATGTAATGGGTGTTGCTGTAATGCAATAATGTGAATAGGCCCTTAAAGTGTGAGTCCATCCTAAAAGAAAAAATCACCCCAAAGTAAGGGAATTCCCCGGCCACTGGTATCCCCATTAGAAGATTTCCCTCACCTCCTCTTGTGACAACTGTAATATATTGGATTTTCATTCACTTTCTGTTTTGGTCACAATGGTCATCAGGATTAATAGAAGGATGAATCTCCCCAGTGGAGACACAGACAGCAATAAACCTTGACAGATAGTCTAACCTTTCCCTACTCTATCCAATCCAAAAAAAGCATTTGTATGCAGTTTACATTATGCATGACCAATTTTGTGCCTTATTTGCTGATTTATTGTCTTCCAAGGTAGAGAAGTGCAGGTATCACTTTTGCTTCGTTGTTCAATTAATTTTTATGTACTGTAATATTTTTCAGGGACCTGAAACTAGATAATGTGCTCTTGGACATGGACGGACATGTGAAGATAGCTGACTTTGGAATGTGTAAAGAGAACATGTTAGGTGACACTAAAACCAGCACATTCTGTGGGACCCCTGATTATATCGCTCCAGAGGTGTGTATTATGCACTACCCTATATGATCACTCTGTTATTATTATTAATAATAATTAGTATCTATTATTGAATACACATATTTATATATCTCATGTACAGCAGCTGTAGATAAGTTTTCATGGGTTAATAAGTGTACATCTTGTTTATTACTAATTTGACTTTTTAAAAACCTACCAAAGACAGTGAAGATCTTTTCCACATGTGGTTGTTATTGAATAGCATGAGAGAGTAAAAATATTGTACTGGTGGTGTTCATCACTAAACCACAGCACCTAGGTAGAGGACTTCATTCATAGATTACTAAATATAAACTATTTTTGCAGCTATCATAAGAAAGAATGAAGCAGAGAGAGGAACAATTCATAGCATATTGTCACAAGCATACAGTTGGGTTCATAGACAAGATCAAGGCAGCACATTATTAGATTAATGGGTTTTTTGTCAAGGTCAGCATTAGTAACACTACTACATAGCAAGGTCACAAGTAGTAATGTGTGGGGGCTTGGTGTGAACCTTGTTTGCCTAAGTTTGCCCAAGCCCACTCTAATAACTGACCAACACACACCCCTCCCGGCCAAGTTGGCATGTAACTGCAGGGTGGGGAATGGCTTGCTGAAACTGATTGAGCTGAAAGGTGGTTGTGTTGCTCACAGTTTTGAGCGGGCTTGGAAATACTCAGGTAAACCGAGTTCACAGCAAGCCCCAAGCTCATCAGTAGTCACAAGGCAAGATCAGAATATCCTGGAGATACCACATTTGCACTTTGGGAAGCAGGCTATGAAACACTGAGGAGGAAAGATAAGCAAGGCTTCTCCAAATGCAGCAGCAAAGCAGCTGAAGGGTCAGCTGTGGTGTTCTGTGATAAGAGTCCTCCTTTCCAGGCCCCTTTTGGCTGAAATGTTCTTTGTGGTGTTTAGCAACAGGGAAAGGCATAACTTCACTTTTGAGCAGATTGAGAACAAGTATCTCAAGAAATACCCATAGTACTATAGTACTAGAGTAATACCTGTTCTGGTACCCAACTTTGTCCACACAGCCATCCACGCCATCCTCATGTCACATTGCTGCTTGATGGATAGAGTTAGGCTTACAGGTAGAAAGGCTTTTAAGGAGTAAAGACTTTTATGATTTTCCTGTTGTTGAACCTGTAATCCTGTCTCTTTTTATGCCTATGCAATAACTAGCTATTTCGATTTTCTCCTTCAGATTTTACTTGGACAGAAATATAGCTATTCAGTTGATTGGTGGTCTTTTGGAGTACTCCTGTATGAAATGTTAATTGGCCAGTCTCCATTCCGTGGCATAGATGAAGAACAGTTGTTTCAATCCATACGCATGGATGACCCATTTTATCCCCGATTTCTCAGCAAGGATGCTAAAGACATATTAGTCCTGGTATGCACCATTGCCATCTTTATCGCATATTTTCCACATAAGCCACAGCATCTTCTAATTCTTTAAAGTAGAACTCCGGGGGAAAATTATTATTAACCCTTGCAGTGGGGCTACCCCTACATGGCAAGGGTTACCTACTCGTTTTGGTCTAGGTGAGGGAATGTCCCTCGGGATCTTCACGTCCTACACACTGTGTATAGAACGTGATGATTTACAAGACTTGACACCACTGCAGTGGAGGGAAAGAGAGGCTCCAGGGGCCGGCCTAAGAGCAAGCCAGCTCAACGGATCAGGTGAATATAACTTTTTCATTTTCCTTTCTAGACACAAATGAGCACCTAACCTTTGCAGTGTGGGGGTAGGCCTACTGCAAAGATTAATAATAACTTTTCCTGGAGAAAAGAAGGTTTTAAAGAAAACCTGTCATTACAGATGACGCACCCATTGCCTGACAACCAGAAGCAGTGCTAGTTCAGAGGCAAAGCTCTGCAGTATCAGTCACATTGACATGCCTCAGATGGAATTCGCAATGCTTAGGCAGTTGCAGCTTCATACAAGCCCCTACTTTGTAAGCCCTGGTTGGCTCCATTTAAAAGTGAATCACTGAGGTCCTTGTTGCCTACAGTATTTACTATTAAAGTAGATCAAATTGCTAACATTTTTTCACACTTTTTAACATGCTATCCTCTAACAAGTCAAAGTGCTTTTTTCCCCTAATAATAATGATTTGCATTTACCTTGTTATTGCTTAGAAACTCAAGCTGAATATCCGACACATGCACACCCACTGCCAGTTGAAGAAAAAAAAGTGGATGGCATGATGATCACACACTCTCTTCCTCACCCTGCACAGAGATTTTCCAACTAGCTGGACAACAATCTAAGCACCAGCAGGCTGAGAGTGTCCATCACTGGGGCAGGCCATCTAAGCAGTTAACCCTTTACACACACATAGTAGCCATTATGTGTTTTAACAGCAACATGCATTGTTCACAGCATCTACTGCTAGGATTATAAGCATTAAAAAATGTCTATATGGCATACTGCCACGCCCAGACAGGAATGTAACAGAGTATACACTATGGTAGCTTTAAACTGGAAGAGATATTCATTTCTAGTTAGGGAATTTAGAGATTAAGTTTAATGATTTGTTTTTTTTTTTTGCATGTAAATTTTTATTTTATTTGCGAGCAAAGTATATTACAACATACAAGTAGTGTCAAAAGATATTTACAGAAAAGGTAGTACAAAACAGACATAAGCAACAGTAAAATAAATGGGTTTAAAAGAGATAAAATACTTAAGTGAAGCCCATTTGGTCTCGGTACAGTGCAGAGTTTGGGCCACTTGACAATTAAATCCAATCTGATTTTTGCCAGAATCACTGGCTGTCGCATTGTGTCTTTCAGTAAGGTTTAATAATTTATATAGTAAAGCGAGAACTCACAGCTACTGGTGCAGCTCTCTAAGTATATGCGCTTAGCCATGTTCACTGCTTACATTACCATATCCCACTGTAGTCCTAGTACCATGGTGCAAGGGTAACAAGGATGCCGTGCCTTCCATAGCACAAGGAAAGCATTGTCATCCTTTTAGAAGAAATACTTTATCAAATGTTCTGCTGGCAGGATTACCAGGTATTTTCAGACTATTAAAATAAAAAATTAAATAAAAATATATTGAGCAGAGTTTTTCCTATTTTCAACCTCATTAATATGTTCAATGTTGTATTTTGGCTTTAGGCCTACTTTAAATGGATATTTACAAGCTTGTGCTAATTGTGTTTGTATATGTCAGCTTTTTGTCAGAGAACCAGAAAAACGACTTGGAGTGACAGGCAACATTAGGCAGCACTGCTTCTTCCAAGACATTGACTGGGAGAAATTAGAGAAGAGGCAAATAGAACCACCATTCAAGCCAAAAGTGGTAAGTATTATGCTCTTGGAGCTGCCAATGGAGCATAGATGCTCACACTTTGTAAGACCAGGTTACACTCTCCAATGGCTCCACAATCTGACTAGAAATGCAGATTTTATTTTCAAAAATGTGCCTGACTTACCTTTATAATGAATGAGCTAAAAACTAATTAAGATGTGTTCTGTATCTAATTATTATTTGCAATACAGTTCAGTATTGATTGACACTTTTATATTTGCACTAACAGTTACATTTTCAGGACAAGCTTTTGGGGGGCCTACCCTCTTCTTTTAAGTTCCAAGCAGTACTGATACGCAACACTAAAAGCTGGTCATACACTAATCTAATTTTATACTATTCCTCCAGAATCAACCAAAATCCATTCTGTGGGTTGCCCTACATACACCCAGTTTGGCATACTTTGATTTTTCAATCGCCTTTTGTTAAAGGAGCCAGGTGGAAAATTATCAGCTGAACAGTGACTACAGCCATTTAGCTGCATTGACTGTTCTGGTATTCTGGCAGGTGCAGGCATTGGCTGTTAGAATACAATAGCAGACGGGCAGGGGAGATTTCCCCAGCCACGCTGTTTGGCATGGATGGGGTAATCGAGCATTTTTTCTTGCTCAAATTGTATGGCCAGCTTTAGCAACTGTTAAGAAGAAATCTGTAAGACAACAATCTCTGGGGGAAAAAGCCCACATAGGGTAATGAACATTGGTCAATTAACGAGTAAAGAAGGGAATTGTGGAATGGGGGGGTGGAATCACAGAGGTTAGAAAACTGAGGTCCACCTTCAGTCCGTTATCTCTTGTGTCAAACAGAATTGTCATTGGTAGTTTAAAGGTTTTACACATATTTACTAGAGGTGCACCGAAATGTTAATTTCAAAACCGAAAAAGAAACCTAAATGAAAAAGAACGTCAGGCCGAAACTGAAAATGTTTTTTATTTTGACTTTTTCAAATGTTTAAAAATATTTAATTTTTATTTATTTTTTATAAACCTTTTTTAATTTTTAATTTTTATTTATTCATTTTTATTAAATATTTCTATTTTTTACTTTACTTTTAGGGGCTTCGTGGAAATATTAGGGGTCTAAACAGACCCCTGATATTTGCCTTTTAAAATAGAAAAAAAAGAGATTGACGACACAGAGTCCTCTCTTGTTCAGCAGCCCCTGTTATAAATGAACAGGAATCCTCTATACTGAGTACTTCTCTTCTTTCATAACTTGAGGACAGGGTATGTTTACTATAACCACAATCATGAATGAACAGGAGGTGATGTAGATCACTTCTCATTCATTCATAATTGAGGATATAGTAACTATACTCTGTCCTCAATTATTTACAAACACCCAGCGATCACTGATCGCTGAGTGTTTGCACTCGCTCTCCATCCTGACACGCTGTCACAGGAGGCCGGGCGGGACGGTGGGGGAGGAGAGCTCAGCCTTCTGTGACAGCACTGCAAGCTTTCTCTGCCCACACCGCCACTCTCCTGATCTGGCACAGGAGGCTGAGCGGTGCGGGGAGGAGAGACGCTGGGTGCTCACAGCGCTCTCCTCCTGCAGCGCTCGGCCTCCTGTGACAGTTTCTCTCCTCGCTGCTGGGACTCAGAGTGGTGCCCAGGGGGGAGGAGAGAAAGCAAAATCACCACTATTTCGGCAGAAAAATAGCACTTTCGGCATTTTGCCAAAAGTGCCATTTTCATCCGATATGTTTCGCCGACCGATATATTGGTGCATCCCTAATATTTATTATTATTTACACGTATTCGATATAATAGATAGTATCATGATTGTTTCTCTTCCAACCAGAAATCAGCAAATGACTGTAGTAACTTCGATAAGGAATTTTTAAATGAAAAAGCAAGATTATCAAGCACAGACAGAACACTGATCAACAGTATGGACCAATCTATGTTCAGCAAGTTCTCATTTGTAAATCCCAAAATGGAAGAATTCATCTCTTGAAGCAACCTCATTTTTCTAAAAAGCAATTGGATATTACACTGCGTGAAGACCTTTGCTTCCACCAACATTCATGCGAAGTACAGTCTCCATTCAAAGACAAAGTTACAGTGGGCTGTAAATATGTTAACATCAAATGATCTATGTATAAAACATAGCACATATGTAAGTATATCCTGACCAGGGATGTGGGCTAATCTATGAGGGATAAGCATTTTACTTCTGCTGTAAAATGATGACTTCTGCCCAAGCAACAACAAATGCTGATGTGTAAACTTACTTCAAAACACCATCAGTGTCCTGTGTTATAACTCTGTAACTGTATTTGTAAAGTATTTGAGTGTTTGCTGTTCTACAAATTAGGACATTGTAGTGAACATGAATATCCTCCACATTTTACTCTCGTTTGGCTAAAAGGTGATAACGGAGCTGGATGGTTAAAGGCCTCAGGAAGACAAACCACTGTTCTCAGTGGAAGCAGAAAACACCAGATCTTAAAGTGGACCTGTACCCCCTTTTACTAAAAAAATACATCAGAGTGCAGCTCTGCATGCTGATATGAAATCATCTGACATTCATTAGTTAAACAAAGATATTTTTCTTTTACTTACAATTATTAAGTTTCCACTTCCTAGTCCACTTTGGCACAAATGATGCAATCGTGCCCAAGCATTGCATGCTGGGAAGGTTACATCAGCAGAGCATTGCTGGGAAATCTCATGAGATCTCAGAGAAAGGCATTTTCCTCCCCTGAGATGATGTGATTGGTCACATGACCTAGTCACATGTCTAGACACTGTGAGAAGAATGGGGAAGAAAGGAAAAATAAGGTATGCAAAGAATGCAAAGCCTGCAATAATCTAGAAGCATCTGTTTGTAGATTGTCATTACTAAACATTTCTAAAGGTGTGTTTGTTATTTTGAAGATATGGATAAAGTTCCTCTTTAAATGCTGATCCAAAGCAGGCCATGCAGTGGTTTTGGTCTGGTTTTTCTGTGGATTGGTATTTGTCCTCTACCATATGTCCAGGTATTTGCCGCTTTTTATAGAAATCAGTGTTCTTTCAGCCTACAATCTTTTACTATCAAGTTTTTTTTTAGCGAAACTAATAAAGTGATTCAAATGTTGGATTTGTATTTTCCACCTTAAAAGCCCAACTATAGTGAGAACTTTTTTTTAAATGATAAACTGATGGTGGAAGGATTAGAACCTTAATGAGGTTTTCATTGCTGGCTTTGTCTCCATTGGGACAGGATGTCATTGGCTATTGGGACCAGAGGCAGCAGCAAATGCAAATATATTTATTAGAACATCTGTTAGTTCTTCCTTTCCTAATGATATCCATACCTTTTCACTTTATGTTCTGGTCTCTTACCGGGCAGGATGTGAGAGGGAAATCTATTGAAGACAGCAATAAAAACTTGACAGAAGTTCTAATTCTTATCCATTTAAGGTTTTGGCTGTAGTTGGGTTTTAACGGTGTCAAGTAGTTTTGATGTAGGATTGATATCCAGTAATTTGCATCTCATAATGACTTTAACCCCTTCGTGACGGGAGACGTACACTGTACGTCCAGCCACAAAGGGACCAAATGACTTGTCACGTACACTGTACGTGACGAGTTATTTGCTGCTTTAGAGGGCTGTTAATCGCTGAGAATCAGCTTTTAACATTCATTAATGGATGCCCTTACTACAGGGGCATTCATTAATGAAAGGGTTAACCTTTTTCAGACACCCGATACCTTAATATCGGGTGTCTGAGAGTCAAAGCAAAGCGGACACAGATGCCGGCTTTTGCCGGCATTCTGACAGCTCGTATAGATCGAGAGATATCTCTCTCAAGCAAATGATGTAGAACTTGGCATATGTTGCTAATCTAGAAGGTTAAATTAACAGATAGTATATTGTATCATGTATATTATTCTAAAATAGCAATGTTTAAAACAGTTTGTATAAAAGTGTATTAGCATGTTTTTTTGTTTCTGTAATTCTTACAATGGTGAAATAAATGTATAAAATAAATGCTTAAACAAATGAAATAAGATTAGTTGTGTTATATTTTAGGCTACTTTCTTTACCATTTTTATCATTTACATTACTTTTAGAACTTTAATAAAATAAGATGACAAAACCCAGTCTTGCATTATCAAGAAGAATTGTAGAGTATTGTTAAGAGGAAACTTCCATGAAGACAAAAGTCAATAGTAGTACTTGAGAAGTCCCCACACTTGAATATAACTCTCCTGCACTTTCTCTGCCAGAGGCTATAACAATTTCTGCAATTAGGATTTGGGTGGGCATACTTTTCATTCAGATCAAACACAGTATATGTATAGCAAGAATGTTAGTATCACAGCTCTGGACTTATACAGGAGTGACTGTAAGTGTATCTGTCAGCATGACGGATCATAGTTCCAGACAATTAGTTGTTGGACGTGGCCAGCGCTCTATGGCACCTCTGTTTACCTAGCAACATGTTGTAGCAGGAGGGTCATGGACTTGTTGATATGATAGAAACAGGGGTCATCACTGCTCTTCTTTAACAGGGGCAGGCAAATCAACAAAATCCCTCTGGTGGTCCCTATCAAGGATGCAAAGATTCAGGAATGTCATCTGGGTGTCTGACACTGATTGTGCAGCGTCATAATTGGTACTATGGACCTCATAATTGGTACTATTTTTGGGATTGCGTTTGATGGTTGGGTTCTCCAAGAAGCTATATTGTCCAGGACAAATAAGGTGGTTGAAATGAAAGAGATTAAAAGAACCACATCAAGATTGCTTCACACTATGACTCCTCAGAAATAAAAGATGTTTAAAGCAAACTTGTGCTTTGTTTGGGCAGGGCATAGCAAGATGTTCACTTGTATGTTGACCCCACCAGTAGCAAAAACTCACCTGCCCACTCCACTACTTGGTGGTTTTTAAAAGCTACCCAGTACTTCTGGTTATGGAAGTGCATGTGATTCATTCCCCTCCTTTCCCTGTGACAGCCTTGTTGCTTGGATATTGGCTTCTTAGTCACTCTTATATACCCTCACTTCTGTGTGAACTACACTGGGTTAACTCTGCCTGCCTCCCTGCAGCTGAATGGAGCAGCAGTGGAGCCAAGGAAAGGTACATATGCACAGGCAAAGGAGAGGTTCAATTTAAAGATTGCTTTTTAATATATCCTTCAAGTATCATTGACTCAACACACATTTGAGAGTTACCTGTGTAAGCATCTTACTTTTTTAGATTGAGTGGGAACCAGTTAAAATTTGTGTCAGGTGTTTAATTCTGTTTGTGACCCCAAAGGGGAGAATTTCCTTCATTTCCTATACATTTTTCATCCATACAAGAAATAGGTAGGGGGAGGGGTTGTCACTGTGACAGAAAGGCAAAGATATCATCAGCCACGTAAATGCAAATATTTACCACACTCACACCTTCCCAGGGCCAGCCTAAGGGGTAGACAGAAGAGGCAGCCATCCTGAGCTGCTTAATTGGGGGGGGGGGGGGGGCAAAAGGGAAGGTCCTGCAGCCTACGCTGCTGAGGTAATTCACAAGGTATAGATAGGGACGACCCACTTTAGCCTTTATGCCTTGGCTGCTAATGGACTTTGTGCTGGCCCTGTACTTTCCTCCTGAGGAAGTCAGTTCAGGTAAATGTTTGACATCAGTTTGAAACACTTCTGGAGATCTTTCAGAATTCATCGCAGTTGGCCTAAACTCGACCTGCTTTAATTGCTTTTGCATAGGGAAAGAAGCAGCAGGGGAACAAAAGCCTATCAACACAGGTACCTACTTACACCTTTAATAGATACTGGTTTCAGAGATAGAAATCATTACTCTGTGTAGCTTTTCACACTTCAACTCTCATTCTTGGTAGCTGTTGACCACTCTTCCTCTTTTCCTTTTTCTCAGTAGATGGTGACATTCCTCATATCAGTGGAAACTAAACAAAATTATATGGTTCCTCAAAATTGTCTGTGCAACATGTATATCTATATAATTTGATCTGATAACCTCAAGCCCTCTGTTGATTGTGAGTTATTTATAACAATGTGCATATCATTATGCTTTCACTCCCCATGCAAAAATGCATTGGTGGATCCAATCCAATTATAATAAACGAACATTTAAGATTAAGGAATTCATCACCTGCCAGAGTACACATGTAACATACATGATGGAGTGTCCAGGTGGACTGCAGTACATAGGCAGGACTACCCACGAACTCAGAATTAGAATACGGGAGCACATCAACAATATAAAAAAGGGGAAGGTGGATCATAGTGTGCCCAAACACTTCAGGGAGAAACATGGAAAAAAAAACAAACTTATTAAATTCATAGGTCTAGATAAAGTCACCAAACACTGGAGGGGTAGCCAGTTAAAGGGAAGGACCCGCTTCTGCCTCTTACAGCTGATGACTCTTTGTTCTATGCGATTGTATACCTGCGATCCTGTAAGTGCAATCTATTTGTTTTGACTGATTAAAACATTTTAATACTGCACTTAGGCGGCCCCCTTCTTCTCTGCCTCCTTTTCTTCCATATATTTTCCCTGAGAGACAACGTGGGGAGATACCGCCATTAAAGCGGTGTGGAGGGATCTGACTGAAGGGGAAGGAGAGAGCCACAGCCGGCTGGTTCATCCGTGAAGGATTGAAAGGGTGACCAATTATAACAACGAACGAGATCGCTTTTGGATTTAGCTGTTGACCATTATGGACATCACTGAATAGGACTCTTTTACAAGTGATACCTTGGAATATAGGAAAGTAAATCCATTTCCTTACGTTTGAAAAAACATTTGTCAGATTCACGAATAGACAGACACTTTATATTAATCAGAGTGTTACTACATTTCAATGTGACATTGTATAACTCTAGGCCTAGGGGGAACACTTGTTTTGTATGGATTTTTTTAAACATCAATGCATTTTTGCATGGGGAGTGAAAGCATAATGATATGCAAATTGTTATAAATAACTCACAGCAACAGAGGGTTTGAGGTTATCAGATCAAATTATATATATATATACACACATGTTGCACAGACAATTTTGAG